AAAAAATATCAGTGCTCAAAAAATATAAGATATAGAGAGAAATATTGTGCATGAAAATTGTTCATATTGAAACAATAAAGCTTAATTCCTAACAAACTTTCATCCCAGGTATCGCCATTTTCTTGGAATAATGGGAAAATCGCCATAATTTATGGTTTATATTAAAAAAAATATCAGTGCTCAACAACTATAAGCGATAGAGAAAAATATTGTGTATGAAAATTGTTCATATTGAAGCAATAAAGCTTAATTCATAACAAAGTTTCTTTCCAACTATCATCATTTTCCAGGAATAATGTGAAAACTTCCAAATATCAAAATTGATGGTTTATATTAAAAAATATCAGTGCTCAAAAACTATATGCGATAGAGAAAAATATTGTGTACGAAAATTGTTCATATTGAAGCAATAAAGCTTAATTCATAACAAAGTTTCTTTCCAACTATCACCATTTTCCAAGAATAATGTGAAAATTTCCAAAATATCAAAATTGATGGTTTGTAATAAAAAATATATCAGTGCTTAAATATTATAAGTTAGAGAGAAAAATATTGTGTATGAAAATTGTTCATATTGAAGCAATAAATCTAAATTCATAACAAAGTTTCTTTCCAACTATCTTCATTTTCCAGGAATAATGCGAAAATTTCGAAAATATCAAAATTAATGGTTTATATTAAAACAATATTAGTGCTCAACAACTATATGCGATAGGGAAAAATATTATGTATGAAAATTGTTCATATTGAAGCAATAAAGCTTAATTCATAACAAAGTTTCTTTCTAACTATCATCATTTTCTAAGAAAATGTGAAAATCTCCAAAATATCAAAATTGATGGTTTGTAATAAAAAATATATCAGTGCTCAAAAATTATAAGCGATAGAAAAAAAATGTGTATGAAAATTGTTCATATTGAAGCAATAAAGCTTAATTAATAACAAAGTTTCTTTCCAACTATCACCATTTTCCAAGAATAATGTGAAATATTCCAAAATATCAAAATTGACGGTTTGTAATAAAAAATATATCAGTGCTCAAATATTATAAGCTAGAGAGAAAAATATTGTGTATGAAAATTGTTCATATTGAAGCAATAAATCTTAATTCATAACAAAGTTTCTTTCCAACTATCACCATTTTCCAAGAATAATGTGAAAATTTCCAAAATATCAAAATTGATGGTTTGTAATAAAAAATATATCAGTGCTTAAATATTATAAGTTAGAGAGAAAAATATTGTGTATGAAAATTGTTCATATTGAAGCAATAAATCTAAATTCATAACAAAGTTTCTTTCCAACTATCATCATTTTCCAGGAATAATGTGAAAACTTCCAAAATATCAAAATTTCTGGTTCATATTAAAACAATATCAGTGCTCAACAACTATATGCGATAGGGAAAAATATTGTGTATGAAAATTGTTCATTTTGAAGCAATAAAACTTAATTCATAACAAAGTTTCATCCTAGCTATCGTCGTGTTCCGAGAATAATGCGAAAATCTGCAAAATATCAAAATTTATGGTTTGTTTTAAAGAAAATCAGTGCTCAAAAACTATAACTGGTAGAAAAATATGTTGTATAAGAAAATTGTTCATTTTGAAGCAATAAAGCTTAATTCCAATAGAGTTTCATCTCAGCTATCATCATTTTCCTGTAATAATGCGAAAATCACCAAAATATTAAAATTTATGGGTTATACTAAAAAAAAAAATCAGGACTCAAAAACTATAAGCGATAGAAAAAGATTTGTCTACGAGAATTATTGATATTGAAACAATAAAAGATAATTCATAACAAAGTTGTAGCCTACCCATTACTATTTTCCAGGGATAAAGGGAAAATCCATATCAAAATATATAATTTATATTAAAGAATTTATTACATCTTACTTTTTAATCATTAATTAATCTCGCTGAACGTTATAATTACTATTGTTCTAAGTAATTGAGAACGAATATGGTTTCCTTAAAAAAAGGAGAAAATTATATGCGAATATCCGTCGGGCACCATCCATTTAATTTAACTATCAACACGTGAAAGAGAGAAGAGAGGAAATATAAAAGCTTTGCAGGGTCCTATTTGAAAAAAAAGGAACAACAACATCAGATACAGAGCGGCAATTTGTAGATTAATGTAAACGCATTTGTTATATGTGGCTTAGCGAGCATGCGATGCAAAGCAATCATTACAATCTCTCTCTTACGAGCATGCGACGACGAAGACCATAATTGTTGAAATTGCACAGAACGATTTCTTCCTTCTTCTAAACGTCGATAATAAAAAAAGAAACGACGACAAGATAATTTAATCGTAAAGATAAGAATATTACTCCCCGATGGAAGTCTTTTCATGTAAAAAAATTCTCCGCCGTGCAACTTGTAGTACACGACGAGAATTTTCGATGGGATATAAAGAAAAATCTGTTCTTCTGCTTCTCGATCGTCTCCGTGGTCGTTTCCCCGTTTTAATTTGTCTCCTATAAATGGGAGTAATCGGGTGAGTTTCAAACGTGGAGAGACCGTTTGTGTTGTGTTGGAAAAGAGAAAAAGAAAAATAAAACTCGAAAAAAGGGTTAAATTTGTAGGCGCGCTGTGATTGAATCTTCCCCATAAATATGGGAGCGTATAGAGACGTCGCGGTCGCGGTCGAGTTATGGCCGACAGAGTCTCGCCGGCAAAGTTTTTGCCTCGAAGACCATCGAGGAAGATTCCTTCTTCGATGGACACGCATTGTCGCATAGCATAGCGCGGCTCTCTCTGCACCTGTGACCAAATATTTTTCACCATCTTCTTCTCACATCACCTTTTGAATCTTTTCCAACCATCATCACCTTTCTTTTTCTTTTTTATTTCTTTATTACAAAAATTATCTATAATATCACAATAATTGAGACAATTCGCATTGTGCTTTGAACTATATCTAATAGTTTTCAAATCAGTTTTTATCACATTGAAATGATTCGATTAGAAATAGAATGATTTTTGTAAATCTATCAATCCTAGAACCATTAAAACTTATTTATAAGCGTTTACAAGTACTTAACACTCAAATAAATAACTTGATAAATATCTTATTACAGGTTAAATCGCTAATTACATTTCAACCTTGTAGATAATTGTTGAAAACTATTGGTGTTTATGGTGATTGGGTTTAAGATACTAAAAAGGATTTCTTGAGTATAATTTCAAAATAATTAATGGTGAAATGAAAATTTCGTATATTTATCTATTTTTTCTATTCATATCTATTTTCTTTTTATCATAATATAAGAAATGAAAAGAAACTAAGCGACTAACGACATCTTCCATTAAACTAATGAAACCGGGAGCTTTTTCGTTTGCTGCTTGAGAGAGTTTTGGAGTACGGGGAGAAACGAACGAACTAAAACTCCGAGAGCAAAGTCTGAAACCGGGGGCGGTTAAGGACTTGCAACGAAGGCAGTTCCTTGAGCGGCGGCTCCTATTGGCCATCCCATTCACCCCGTAGGGTTTGAATCGTGCTGTCGATGCCATTCGTAAATCAAAATCCGAATCTTTCTCTAGCCCCCACCATCCAAGTCACACAACGTCAATGACGTCATCGTTCGTTTCCTACCGAATCTTTCTATATTATATCTGTATGTTATCCTAAAAATAAACCCAACGATTTTTATCTACCTACTTTTTGTTTGTCTAAAGGTAAATATTAATATTAGTTTTATGACCCGGGAGTTTCGGTATTAATCCAATATGTCACTTTTCTATATCCTTTTACCTCCAAATTACGCGTTTTGGATTATCGTTATCTATTTGCAATGAGCCGACCATTTTTGTGTTTTTATATTTAGGGTCTCCCAATATTTTATGAACAGCAAGTGTTTCGGCATACGTTTTCCGCGTGTTGTATGTATTACGATAAGATTGTGTTGTTCTATTGGACGAAAAAGCGAACCATTTTTTACTTTTTAACACATTAAAGCGATAAGATAACACTCTCATTGTTTTTTGTAGATGTTATGAAACTTTTACTTTTTTCTTTTTTTTGGGAGAACGAAATTTTTCGTTTTCTTTTGGTCACACTTGTGCTTCAAAAAATTGTGATTAATTCACGATTTCCCTACTTCTTCGTCGTCGTTGCAGGAAATGATTGCGTTTTGTCGCGCACTCAAACAGAGTCCACAGACAATCGGCTAATTTTTTCGAGCAACGTTCCGTAAAAATAATCGTGTGGATACGAAACGCCCACTAACAATGAAGAAATTGTTTAAAATACAATTGTCTCTTATGTGAACTTAACCAACAAAAAGAGAATTAACACATTAACACCCACCATAAACCCAGAAATTTTAAATTAATTTTCTTTGTTAAGAAAAATTTAAAATAATTTTTTTTTAACTTTTTGATTAATTTCAATTCACCCCAACCTTAAAATCTTATCACGAACATAGAGGCAATCGCGTTAAACCTTCGAGCGGTTAAATTCAAAGGGGCAACCCTCGTAAAACGTCTTCCAGGGGTCTACTGGAATCGGTTTCATTACCGTTACTAGGATTATGTCATTCGATATCAACGGGTGGTCGCTTAACTTTACCAATACACTACAACAGACAATAAACGTGCACACTCGCATAAACCTAAATACACACACACGCACTCAATACACAAATAAACTAAAAACTCTAAAGGGAACAAGAAAAGGGAGTTTAAACCGAGGGGGTGGTTCACATAAAATAAAAAAAGAATGAAAGAATAAAATAAATAATAATAATAAACAGAACGCCTTTCTGAGCGCGTCCGTTTTTGTTCTAAATGCGCGTATTGTGCGGGCAGGGGTTGGCCAATGCACACAATAAAAACGGGGTTGTAAGACACTTCCGCCCCATTGATAAGTAGTTAGGTCTCTCTCGTGCCGGAAGAGTCGTTGAATCGAGTGATTAATGATTTGAAAAAAATAAAGAGAAAAAAACCGAACGGGTTGTTGTTCAAGTAATTAGTTTTTCTTTTTTTTTGCAGGGAAGTGGTGTCCTCGGAGGGAATGGTCATCACCTCCAGATGCTAGAGTGACTGGCGATACCAGGAGAGGGGTTTTGTATTCATCAGTGTTTCTAGGAAGTCCTGGTAAGTACTAAATTATAAGAAATGTTTTTATTAAAGAATAATTTTTATTTGTCTTTGTATCTTTTTTGTTCTATTAATAATAACTGTGGTGGGAAAGCAATTACAGTAAAAAGAAAAATAGTACGAAGGAGTTCGTAGGTCGCGGCTAAGCAATAACAAAGGAGCCTTTGGAAAAGGAACAAAACAAAGCGATATAACAATATCGCATCGGCGCCGGGCGAAAAATTACATTCCCGGCCGCGAAATTTCATTAAAATCGAGCGGGCCGCGCCGGCCTCCGCCTGCTGCATTCCTGCGAGTCGACTAGCAGTGGGGGAAGCGGTTACCATGGCGACCGGCGCATTCACGCCTCGCGGCCATGGTAACGGCCGCGCATGTCCGGCGCGAAGCGAGCGGCGCGCTGCGGCCAAATGGCGAACCTCCCCCCACCAGGCTGCAGGAGGACGCTGCCGGCGGAGAACACGCGCAAAAACTTTTCCGCGGAAAAACGTCAATATATTTTCTTCGTCGCCGTCCATTTGGACGTTTTTCCGAGCGCGGGCCGGCGACGGCGGAGCTAATGTAACTTTCCGAAAACTGACCTCGCAGCGTCGAACCGGGGATTTCCAAGCGGTTTTATTTTTGTCCCGAGGAAAATATTTTATTCCGCCCCTGGCGACCGAACAACCCACCTCCCCCCACCAACCACCCCCTTAGAACCGGAAAAACAAACTAAAGAAAAAAAACTAGATTTATCGTTCACCAGAATTGTGCTGCTTTTACTAAGAAAATGTCGATAAAATTATTTTCATTATACTTTTCATGATTCTATAGAGCCATCATATCATCCGTGATTCTTTTTATTAAACACACTATTCAAATAATTTTGAATCACTCTCTTAAATCTTAAGTAGTTACATTAGAATGTCAAAGCCATCATCTAGCATAAGTAATAAGAGAAATAATAGTAATTTGTAACCGGGAGCTTTGCATGGTTGAAATATCAAGTAGACGTAGCCGCCGTCTCTGATTTATTTGATGAAAGAGAGAAGGAAAGAAGATTAGTGGCATATTAGATAAAGAAGGGAAATAGCCTCCCAGAGAACCAAAACTATAAATAACCAAGACCGAGTGAATCGGAGATTCGCCCATCGGTCAATTGCAGCGGGTCCCGCTGTCAGAACCCGAGTTCCCAAATCGGTCACGGGACAATCAAAAGGGACGCGCGCACACTTACGGCCTGCAGCAATATAGCAGGCGGTGGTAGTGTATTTTGAGCCTGAAACGCAGGGGGTGTTTTGTGGTGGGCAGACTTCGGGGCTGTCAACTGCAGAAACGACGTCCTACGGAGCGTGTGCTGCCGTCGACACACGCCACCCAATTTTTCCCCAAAAAAAACCACCCCTTCATTACCAACCCCCCAAAATATACCTACCTACCTACATACATACATACATTGGAAAGAATTCCATTCATATTGATAGAAGCGAGATGGATATAATAATAGCGGGTGGCTTGCGGCCATCTTCTTGAAAACCACGTCCGAAGCAAGAAGAAGAAGAAGAAGGCCGGTCGGCGCATTTTGTGGCTGACCTTTGGGGGTCACGCGGCACCGCCTGATTGGGCTATCCATCAACCTTCACGTAATTGGTTCCCATGATCACGTGGGCCCCGTAATTGTTACCTTGGAAACGGCCCGGCTCGGCCCGAGATCTCATTTCTAGAAATTGAGCGTGAAGTTCAACCCCTCACAATCCCTCCAACCTCCCCTCAGCCGCCCGCTACGACACCACCCGCCGCCGGCCACTTGATTTATCGCCCTCAAGCTACGAAAGAGAGCAAAATTTCATCTTTTCCATCCAAAAAAAAAGAAATACTAGTAATTCAATTTTGTACTATATGGAAAAAATTGGACTAACTATTAACAAAACTTTATCAATATTTATTTCCATTAGATGTTAACTTGGTTGCATAAATGTAAAAAACTTCACGGTGCGTGTGTAATGTATGGAAACATTAAGAAATGTTGAGACACTGTATATTTTAAAATTTTATAAGAGATACTTTTATTATCTATTCTGTGATATAGCACACCTAGTACCTAGGTTTGCAAATGTAATTGCTTAGAAATTACGGTTTACAATTTTTATACCCTCAACAAATGAGAGTACCATGCATGAAAGAACAATAAATGTGAAACAGAAACAAAGTACAAGTTGAATAAACACAATACAACAAAATGAAACTAAAATAAAAAACACTAAAGAAAATTTGCAATATGATTTCCTTGTACCTACCTGAAAACAGAAATCAATTCTGAGTGAAAACTCATTTAAAACATTTCGAATCGTTTCTGGTGATATATCCGTTATTTCTTCTGTAATTCGATCCTTTAGTTTTTGTATGTTTTGTGGCCTATTCACAAAAATTTTACCTTTTAAATATCCCCATAAGAAATAATCCAGTGGTGTTAAATCGGAAAATCTTGCTGGCCATTCAATAGCTCCCCTTCTTCCAATCTAATGATTGAGAAATGCAATGTCTAGAAAGTCACGGACACCTCGTCAATAATGAGGAGGGGCTCGATCTTGTTGAAACCGAACCAGTCTGTGTACGAGACGAGGATTCATATAGAATATATGAATATATAGAATTCATTTAGAAAGCGTCTGGCTAATTCCGAAATTAATTCTAATTCCAAAAATGCCCAGTACTGTGTCTCCATCTTCCAGTGAGGATTTTCGTCCGACCAATATCTGCAGTTCTGCCTGTTGACTGTACCATTTAAAAAGAAAGTTGCCTTGCCAGAAAAAATTATTTGTTGATGCCATTTTTCTTTCTTAAGGATCTTGCGTACGGAACTTTGGCTAATTTCATTCTTTGTGGCAAGTACTCTGCTAGGCTTATGAGGATATTCAATCAGTTAACAAAACGTTTGCTCTTATTTGGTATGGTACAGGATGGTGACCACTTTTCGGACGATCACGTGCATGCCGAATTTCCTCACATTTTTGTATGATATTAGGTACAGTACCACGGTCCTATAGGCGTACTGTCTTCATAATTATTGTTAAATATTTCACAAACCTCCTCATGTGTACGAGTTCTGCAACCATGAGATCAGTTTAAAAAATAACATAATGAATCAAGTTTCTAATTTTACCTGTCTTCTCATCCTTTCATTGTTAAAATTTCAATTCTTTGACGTTCTGTTAAATGTGCCATATCTTTTTATCACAAGTTTGGTTTTAATAAACCATCCAAAACTACTTTGCATACTCACTAGCAATCTGTCAAAATATCACTATGTTACATATTTTTATCAAACTAAAACCAGAACTAACACTAGACCTAGAACTAGAAAGCTTCCAGTTTTTAGAGTTTTTAGGTCCAGTGTTGTTCTAGTTTTAATTGTTAATCAGCATTAAATTGTAGTATAAAACCAGAAACATTTCGTAACTATGGTTACTACATTCATATATTGGGAGTTATATGAAATATATTATATACTTCACTTAGCTGCATATTTGGTTGCATAAATATTAAGCTTCTAACTTCACTTAAAATCATGATGAATCAATTTAAAAGTTATTTATTAAAATTTATGTTGGTAATTTGAGTGTTCTTTCCGTTTTCTTGAAGTTCTAAATTTAAAACAGTTACTTTTGAGAGATTATTTGTTGGTAACAAACACCACTTAACCTATCCACTTCGTTCAGTAAAGCTTTTCACGTGTTGACATCGCAAGACAGGTGTCGAAATGACGTTGTAGAGAACTTTCCAAAAAGCCATCGTCGACGGCGCCCGCGCCTGTAAACACGGCGTCCAAAAGGCATTAAGTACCGTATGTTTTGACTATCGCGACGGCAGCGCCGCAGTTCGTTGCACCGGACGACGTCGTCGTAGTCGGCCGTCGCTAAAGCGGACAGCGTGTCGTCAGTCATTTGTTCTCGTCGCTCAATTAAGCGCCGCCGCCGCCTATGAAAAAGACGCGTATCATCGCGCCTAGTCACGCCGCCGTTTGGGGACCGCGGGGTTACCCGTCACTCAACCTGTCATACGGATGACAGTGATCCGCAAATGTTTAGGAGGGAATTCCAAAGGCATCGTGTTCATAAAAAGCTTTTATTCCAAATCAAATTATCATTATTTTTCGACCGATTTCAACATCTAAAGTTCTTTTTTTTTTTTTAATGTACCCGAAAATAACTTTTGTCTCGTTCTAAAGTTGACTATCTCAATCGTGTCGTAAATTAACGAGAAAATAACCAATAAAAAAAGTAAAAGTGACTTGGTAATTGGCGTCGCCGGTAAAAACGGCGACGGCGTCGCGACGCCCGCTTCGGATATAGCTTTCAGGATTGGGATTTGAGTCGTTATCATAGCCACATGTGATTGTAATTTCGCCGTCGCGCGAGCCCCGGCGCTCCTGGCACCGGGCCAACTCCGGGAATTAAAATAATATCCTTCGCGCTGAGACATAAAACGCGTCATTAAAGAAGTCCCTCATACGCGAGCATCTCCGTGGATCACCGTTTTGTACTAATTTATGGGACATTTGCTTCGTGTAATGCTGCAGCTAGGGAGAGTTTCAACCTTCTTCTTAGTAAAAGCAAACATATAAAATTTCTAAATAGTTTTTGGATATTGTCTAAGCCAATTTTCTAAGAATTTCTATTCGTTTTCTTATTATATGTTCGGTTTAATATATTGCCAAGACAAAAATAACTTTATGATTTTTAGTTTTTATTTTTTCATATTATAAAATGTGCACGTTGTTGATTCCAAGAAGCAATTTAAAAGATTTTTCAAACATTTTAATACTTTTTCAAGTGGAACATCTTTAAAATTTCTGATCTGTACTTTTTCAATACTGACAAGATCTTGATAACTTGGCAGAAATTAATATCTCAATTCAAGAATTCCACACAAAATTTCTGCACACCACATTGGTCGCTGTACATAACATTGAGTGTAGTGACAAAGTTCTTGCAATAGTCTAATAATTTTTCTATGAAACA